TCACAAAACAGCCAAAAATATACCTCACAGACTCTATGCTGCTAGCTCTGAAGCAATACAAAAGACACAGGAAGTTCCAAATTACTTTTTAAAAAATTTTAAGGGAGACTGAGGTGGGAAGATTACTTGAGCCTGAGAGATCGAGGCTGCAGTGAGCCGAGATCACATCACTGCAATCCTGCCTGGGCAACAAAGAAAGACTGGCTGAAAAAAAAGTTTTAATTAATTTCAAAATCACACTAAAGTCATTTTTTAAACCACTCAAATGTCTTTTTCATTTCTGAAGGCTCTAATACAATGCAACATAGCCATAGCTTTCAAAACAATAAGTTTCCTTTAACACTGCAATTTTGCAATTCCCTCTCTCCCAAATGTATTTCTAATGCCCTTTAGCACTATATTTTAAAGGTCTTACCACAGTCTTTGAGGTCCTCTGAACAGCCAATATCTTATTTTCTAAGGAAAACTTAATGCACTTCACTTCTCCTTTGTCATCCATTCTTAAGAAGAAAGAATGTGTTAATAGTTAAATAAACGAATTCTAGCTACTATCATTTACAGAAAAGACAAAAGACACGACCTATGCTCAGGAGGCAGCAAATTCTAGCCTAAAATTAAAATTACGTTTTGAAGCCATCAATTGGACCTCTTTTCAAACTACCAAATCCAACTGGAAACAACTTGCTGGGAAAACTTACAGTATTATGGGTAACAAGTGATTGAAGAATTGAGATCACATGTACGTGTCACCTGAGACAACTGAAAATTGTTCTAATGTAAGCAACTATAGACCCGCAGAGAAGCCTTCTCCATGTCTGTTTCTCTCTCACAGCAAAGCTTCTGGAAAGAAGCATCTATTCATGCATCTCACAGCTCATTCATTATGCCCAGGCCTGTGATGCACCAGAACAGCTCCACTACAGTGTCTCATGACCGCCTCAGACAGATGTTAAAAAGTGAACTCGGCTGGGCACAGTGGCCTACACCTGTAATCCCAGCACCGTGAGAGGACGAAGCAGGAGGATCACAGGAGTTCCCAGCCTCAACAATACAGTGAGAACCCATCTCTATTCAAATATATAATTTTTTAAAATTAAAAATTCATTTTAGAAAAGCTAATTCAAGGGATGGATTACAGAGGGGCTCAAGGAAACTTTTCGAGATCTGAACATGCTCACTCCTTGATTGTGGTGATGGTTTCATGGGTATATACGTGTCAAAACTCTCAGATTGTATAATATTAAGTGTGCACAGTTTATTATGTGCCAACTATGCCTCAATAAAGCTGCTTTTTAAAATTCTTTTTTTTTTTTTTAAGATGGAGTCTTGCTCTGTCACCCAGGCTAGAGTGCAGTGGCACAATCTCGGCTCACTGCAACCTCCGCCTCTCCACTTCAAGTGATTACTTGAAATATCAGGAAACGAGAAAAGAAACTCCTCACCAAAAATCTCCATTCCAGGTGGCTATGAGGGATCCCAGGGCTGAGACCCAGATGTGCTGTCAGCCCAATGAGGAGAAAAAGGGCAAGACAGACGCAGCCCCCAAGTAGGTGGGATTACAGGTGCGTGCCACCACATCTGGCTAATTTTTGTATTTTTAGTAGAGATGGGGGTTCACCATATTGGCCAGGCTGGTCTCGAACTTCTGACCTCAGGTGATCCACCCGCCTCAGCCTCCCAAAGTGCTGGGATTACAGGCATGAGCCACTGTGTCCAGCCTAAAAACTCTTTTTAAGTTAAATTCAGTACCTTCCCCCCATAAACTTCTCAGAGTCCCCAATCTAGATTATCATGAGCTCACTCTCCTTTTCCACACCCAACCAACCCCCAAGTCTTACCAGAGACCAATCTTCCAAGGCATCCCTTGATCACCTATGTAATGCCACTCTACACCGCCAGAGCTCTGGTCTTCACCACGCCTGGCTCATCTGACTACTACTCTTCATGGTATCTCTAACTCCGACAGGCTCCCAACTAAGCCAGCCTCCATGCTGTGAACAGAATGATCTTTCCAAACACTGACACAATCATCCCATACCCCACCTGACAAGTTTCAATAACAAGATAAAGCTCTAACTCCATAGTGGAGTATGTAGGGTTCAAGCTGGCCCCTGCCAGAGACCACACCACCACCATTTCCCCTTCCCTGTAGAGACACCCCATGTAACCTTGAGTTACACAGACCCAGAGTTCCCCAAAACATCATGCTTGCTCCCCATCCATACTTTAAAATCTTGCTCAGGATAGGTGCAGCAGCTCACACCTGTAATCCTAGCACTGTGGGGGGCCAAGGTGGGCAGATCACTTGAGGTCAGGAGTTCAAAATCAGACTGGTCAACATGCTGAAATCCTGTCTCTACTAAAAATACAAAAAAATTAGCAGGACATAGTGGCAGGTGCCTGTAATCCCAGCTACTTGGGAGGCTGAGGCAGGAGAATCACTTGAACCTGAGAGGCAGAAGTTGCAGTGAGCCAAGATCCAGCAACTGCACTCCAGCATGGGCATCAGAGCGAGACTCCATCATGACATAAATGAAATAAAACATAAAATAAATAAAACCTTGCTCGACGGCTGCTTCCCTTCTGAGGCCTTCCCACTCCTGGGCAGAGGTCTTCCCTAGGCCATCCCAAGATAAACAGCACATCTCTTCTGCATTCTCACGTTCTGAACACAGCTCTATTACAGCACTTATCACAGTGAATAGCATTTGTCTCCCACACTAAATTTATGAGCTCTCCAAAAGGGTCCAGACGAATTTAAAGTCCTCATAGGCCGGGTGCCTAGCACAGGGGCTGCAGTGTTTGCCCAAGGCATGATAATAAAAGAAAAAGCTTGATGCACGTTCTACTTCAAAGACAGTTTCCTGGCCAGGTGCCGTGGCTCACGCCTGTAGTCCCAGTAATTTGGGAGGCCGAGGTGGGTGGACCACTTGAGGTCAGGAGTTCAACACCAGCCTGACCAACATGGTGAAACCCCATCTCTACAAAAAAATACAAAAATGCCGGGTGCGGTGGCTCACACCTGTAATTCCAGCACTTTGGGAGGCTGAGGCGGGTGGATCACGACGAGGTCAGGAGATCAAGACCATCCTGGCTAGCATGGTGAAACCTCGTCTCTAAAAAAGAAAAAAAAAAAAAAAAAAACTACAAAAATTAGCCGGGCATGGTGGTAGGCGCCTGTAATCCCAGCAACTCGGGAGGCAGAGGTTGCAGTGAGCCGAGATTGCACCACTGTCACTTCAGCCTTTGGAGCACAGGGAGGTTCCCTTAACAAAAAAAAAAAAGAATCGGGGGTGGGGGGACAGTTTCCCATTAACGCAGGCCAACAGTAAAATTTCTTAAGTCACCACTGAATTGAGGGCCTACATTGTACTTTCACCTTCTGTACACACCAGCATTAAGGTGACCAGAGAGTTTATCATCCAGATTGAGACACTTCTGAAAGGGGCCACTACTGATCATTACACCTGTTCAACGGTGGGAACTGGGACCATGCAGTCACCTTAAGTATAGTGGAAGCCATGTTTTTCTTATATTATTACTTGAGAAACAATGTTTCTCCTCCACCTGCCACTGTGGAAAGACCTGGGCTAAACAAATGAAGGCCTTCCTCTGTCAACAAACCAGAAATGGGCACATCACCACGCTGACTTGTTAATTTCCAGTGCCGGGAAGTAGATGCCCCACTTCTGAAGTATTTGGCTCCCAAATCAACTGCTCCAGATATTCCACTCTGTCAAGAGACGCTAGGATGTGCCGCCAAGACTCTCTCTATAGACAGGGATTCCATGTGAGCACACACACACTTCAGACCTCTTAGGGCAGTCCAATGACAAAATTATAAAAAAAACCTTTTGAATTAGAAAAACACTATTCTGTTTACATGATAAAATGATCTGAAAGTGTATACCGTTACCTAAATGAGATGGGACTCCTATCATCCGGGCCTTTAACTACCACACCAGTAGCTCCACCAGATCGAACAGCAAAAACCTGAGAGGGAAAAGCAACAAGGTTAATAGTATGAACTCTGAAAGGATCTAAACTCATAAGCCTACCCGCAAGCGATTATTTCTGCTATACCCCATCCTCGGCTCAACTGAAGTAACACGGCACATATGAAGGTACAGACATTTGGCTGTTTATGTGAATTTTAAAAAACAAGAGCAGAGAACGAAAAGGCTGCCACTCCGACTGTGGCCCACCGTGCCACACCGGGTCGGGTCCCCCAGGTTGCAAGTTCTAAGGCTGATGCACTTGAAGTACAGTCTTCTCCCCCTTTACAAAATTCCGAGGAAAATGAAAATCTCAACCTCTAAACCCTTGACTGTGAGAGTAACGAATGACAAAGATAATAAAAGAAGCCTAGATGGTCACGGGGTCACTGCGTCCGCGCTGAGGGCTCGGGAGTCTAGCCCCCGGGTCACCTGCGAGAACACCTGGCCTCGGCGGAGCCCACCCAAGTGGGAAGGAGCGCGCGCCGCCTCCTGCGCTGAGACGGGACGGGACAGAAGCGGACACTCGGGCCCGGTCGCGCGGGACCGGCCTCGGCGCGTCCAAGACCCCGGCAGGCCGCGCGGAGGAGGAAGGCGCGGGCTCGCCGGACCTGCTTGTTGGCCTCATCGAAGAAGACGCAGTTGACAGGGTTCGCCTTCTCGAATTGTACCGGCCGCTCGCACAGTTCCAGGTAGTAGTCCTCCTCGCCCATGGCGGGCGCCGCAGTGGCGGCGGAGGCCCCGGAGGCGGTCGCCAGCGTGGAGCGGAGCGCGCGGTGGAGCCCAGCCTGGACTGCGGCGACGGCAGCGGCGGTGGCGGCTGCGGGTCTGGGCCAGGCGCGGACTCGGTTTCCTGGTGTCACGCCCCCACCCCGCCCATCACGTGACCAGCGGCCCTCTGCACTTAAACGGGCAGTCTGGCGGCGGTGGGGCCCACCGACAGTAACCACGCCCCGCCTGGCTCGTGAGGCTCCTCCCCTTTTCCCGAGAGCGGGAGGAGCGCGGCGGCGTGACCCGGAAGCTCGCGTGGTGTAGCGCGGACCGAGGGCCGCTGGGCAGCAAATCCTAACTGCTTCGGGTTCCTGTGCGCTGCTCGGTCGCTCCTGCCCCAACGTGTCCCCCAGCGTGGGACCGTCCCCGTCCTAGAAAAAGTTTTACCTTGCTCTAGGGAGAATTTCCCTAGCGCCTCCCGCGGCAGGGTTCCCCCCTCTGGGAGTTTCGTCTGAGAGAAGGGGCCGAAGGCTCGCTGAGCAGGTGCGGGGGGCGCCGGGTACCGTCTCCAACCCACTCAGCGCTTCGCGGGCTCTTCCGCTGGAGCCAGAAACCAAATTGTCATGAGGCAGATAAGACAAAAGCATACACACTTTATTAGTTTTTCATGGGGATCTTCAAAAGAGAGTGAGGTCTGAAGAAGTGGCCAAAGCAAGATGCTTTTATACTTTTTAGACAAAGAATGACGCATTTGAGAAGACAGCACAGAAGGCACCTGGCTAGGAGCGATACATTTCTAAGGGAGTTACGAAGAGAAATACTGGAGGGTTGTAAAACTAGTGGACGATAAGGGTTACTTGGGAAGTTCGTGTATTCAGGTCCATAGCAGCCCCCAACTCCCAGTCTCTGGTGATAAGGGCTATTTTCTGGCCCAGGTACAGAGAGGGTACTGCTCCCAGAGGAATCTTAATGGCTTCTTCCCTGTAGGAAAAGACAGGACATCTAGCTCTTTCTGAAACTACAGTTTCTCCAGTGTTTTCAACTCAATATACCAATTTGTGGACGTATTTTGGGATAGCACGTCCTTCACTCCTTCATAGTAACAGGAAAACCTAATTTCGATTGTGGGTCAGCAAGCCTTTTGACTTGGTAAGAAACAAAAAAGTTACCACGTTAACCCCTCTTTTTTTGTTGTTTGTTTGTTTCAGAGACAGAGCCTCTCTCTGCCCAGGCTAGAGTGCAATGGTGCAATCACGACTCACTGCAGTCTCAGCCTTTCATCTCAGCCTCCCAAGTAGCTGGGACCACAGGTGCATGCCACCACGCCTGGCTCATTTTGTATTATTATTTTGTTTTGTAGAGACAGAGTTCTCTGTTGCTTAGGTTGATCTCAAACTCCTGGTCTCAAGTGATGCTCCTGCTGACTGTGCTCAGCCCCCGTGTTGACCCTTTTTTTTTTTTTTTGAGACAGAGTTTCTCTCGTTGCCTAGGCTGGAGTGCAATGGCACTGTCTCAGTTCACTGCAACCTCCACCTCCAGGGTTCAAGTGATTCTTCTGCCTCAGCCTCCCAAGTAGCTGGGATTAGAGACAGCTGCCACCACACCCAGCTAATTTTTTTTTTTTAATTTTTTGTATTTTTAGTAGAGACCGGGTTTCACCAAGTTGTCCAGGCTGCTCTCCACTCCTGACCTCAGGTGCTCTGCCCACCTTGACCTCCCAAAGTGCTGGGATTACAGGCATGAGCCACCGAGTCGAGCCCCACGTTAACCCTTTTTTAAGTGTTCAGTTGTATTAGGCATATTCACCTTATTGTGAAATACATTTCCAGAAATTTTTTATCTTGCAAGTCTGATTTCTGTCTCTAAATTTGGCTACTCTAAATATCTCATATAAGTGGATTTTATAGTATTTGTTCATTAGTGTCTGGCTTCTTTTGCTTAGCAAAATATCCTTTAGGTTCATCCGTGCAACACATGTCAGCATTTCCTTCCTTTATTAAGACTGAGTAATATTCCATTTTATGTATATAGCGCATTTTGTTTATCCATTCATTTTCTGATGAGTATGTGGGTTGTTTCCACCTTTGGGTATTGTGAGTAAAGCTGCTATGCAAATATCTGTTCAAGATTCTCTTTCTAATTCTTTTGAGTCTATACCCAGAAGTTGGATTGTTGGATCATATGGTAATTCTGTTTTTCAGAGAGCCATTTTTGAGTGGTTTTGATGTCTGAGCCCAAGAGTTTGGTTTGGAGCATATGAATCCAAGGAGAAATTACATCTAGATAGATGGATATATTGGTCTGAAACTCATCAGAGGAGTGACAAGACTCCTCCACTCAGCCTCAACCACCCAGGCCCATGTCACATATGGAAAAACCATTAACTCCGGAACCCTGCTCTCCAGCCACACCATGCCATCCCTGCAGCTGGCTTGTTCAGCTGCTCCCCACAATGTTTCCTCAACATCACCAGGATGCTCTGCCATGGTTCTATCCTCTCTGCCTGGGTCTATCTGCCCTGTCCTCTCTTCCCTTCCCTCCTCATCAGCTTTGGTTTCATTTTTCCCCATTCCAGTTTTTTGGGGTTTTTTTGCCATTACTTTTAATATCCTTGCTGCATTGTTCTTGTCACACTTGTTGGGTAGGACCTCAGCCCTAGATGAACTCAGCCACCTGCTTTCCCAGTACCTGCTACTGGAGGAGTCACACAACAGGACAGAGGACACAGCTGGAAATTCAAATGGGCTGTCCCAGTAATTGTCTCTCCTGTTCTCTGCAAGGACATTTTCATGCGTTCTCCACACTCCTCAGACTGCCTCACCCCTACTTCCATGAACATCGAGGTCTTCAGATGGAAACCGGGCTTCATAGCAGTTGCACAGCCCACCATTTCTAGAGGCTGTCCCTGTAGAAAATGGCCATCCTGCCCAGGGCCATACCCTCTTTATTTTTATTTTATCTTATTTATTTATTTTTTATTTGAGACAGAGTTTCGCTCTTGTTGCTCTTGTTGCCCAGGCTGGAGTGCAATGACACAATGTCGGCTCACTGCAACCTCTGCCTCCTGGGTTCAAGTGATTCTCCTGCCTCAACCTACCAAGTAGCTGGGATTACAGGTGCCTACCACCACACCTGGCTAATTTTGTATTTTTAGTAGGGACAGGGTTTCTCCATGCTGGTCAGGCTGGTCTTGAACTCCAGACCTCAGGTGATCTGCCCACCTTGGCCTCCCAAAGTGCTGGGATTACAGGCATGAGCCACATGCCTGGCCCAAACTCTCTTTTTTTTATTTTTATTTTTTGCAAATACAGAGTGACTTACCAGCACTTCTTTGAATTCCATCTTTCGGCCAGCCACAGTGGCTCAAGCCTGTAATCCTAGCACTTTGGGAAGCCGAGGTGGGTGGATCACCTGAGGTCAAGAGTTTGAAACCAGCCTGGCCAACATGGTGAATCCCCATCTCTACTAAAAATACAAAAAAATAAATAAAAAATAGCCAGGTGTGGTGGCAGGTGCCTGTAATGCCAGCTACTTGGGATGCTGAAGCAGAATTGCTTAAACCCAGAAAGCGGAAGTTGCAGTGAGCAGAGATCACACTGCTGCACTCCAGCCTGGGTGACAGAGCAAGACTCCGACTCAAAAAATAAAATAAAAAATTTAAAAAATGAATTCCATCTTTCACCTTCTCAGAAAACCTGCAGTATTGACCATCCACTGTTTCTCTTGTATAGGGAACTTCTCAAATCCTGCTCCTAGAAGCAGCCTTTATATTTGCTCATCTCTTCCATTTTAAAAACAAAACAAAAACAGAACCGAAAACAGAGAACTTTTCTGAAACACACGTCTCTATCCGACTATCTCTGCCTTCCTCTGCTTCACAGCGAACAGGAGTCAGTCTTGACACATCGCACCTCCCATCCCTCATGCTCAAGCAAGAGGAGGCCATCAGCTTAGGTAGAAGTTTAGAGAAAGGACTTCCAAGAAAACCCAAGCTACTCCACAGAAGTGCATATTTTAAACATAACCCCACAGGAGTCTGCCAAGGACAGGGCAGCAGTGCAGTGTGTGTGTGCACACACGTGTGTGTGTGCATGCATCACACTTAGAAAAGACCATGGTCTTTTTTTTTTATACTGGGCATCTCGTCCTTTCCAGAGAATTTGGTTCAGCTGACTCTGGCCAGTGAGTCCTAAGAGCCAGGCTTGATTGTTTTGCAGTTCGCCTTGAGTCTACATGCAGCACTGAGGTCTACCCGGATGTTATGGGCTGAAGTGTGTCCTCTCAGAATTCAGATGTTGAGATACTAACCTGTAATACTTAAAAGTGCATTATTATTTGGAGATAAGGCCTTTAAAGAGGTTTTTAAGGTAAAATGATGGACCCTAATCCAATAGGACTAGTGGTTTTTTGTTTCTTTGAGTTGGACTCTCGCTGTATTGCCCAGGCAGGAGTGCAACCTCTGCCTCCCAGGTTCGAGGGATTCTCCTGTCTTAGGCTCCCGAGTAGCTGGGATTACAGGTGTAATGCACCACTTGCCGGGCTAATTTTTGTTTTTTGTTTGTTTGTTTTGTTTTGTTGGTAGAGACGGGGTTTCACCATATTGGTCAGGCTGGTCTTACCATATTGGTCAAGCTGATCTCGAACCCCTGACCTCGTGATCCGCCCGCCACGGCCTCCCAAAGTGCTGGAATTACAGGCGTGAGCCACCGCGCCAAGCCCCTGGTTTCTTTACAAGAGAAGATTGAATCTAGACACACAGACTGAGGGGCCACCCAGGTGAAGACACGGCAAGAAGGCGCCACCTACCGGCCAAGAAGAACCGCCTCACCGGAAGCAACGCTGCTGGCACCTTAATCTAGGACTTCCGAGCCTCCAAAACTGTGAGAAAATAAATGTTTTCACCCAGTCTGTGGTATTTTGTTGTAGCAACCCAAGCAGACTAATACACTGGCCATGGGCAAGAGGCCCTGACCACAGTGATCTTGACAGGGGGTGTGGGCCCAGGAGATGCTAGGGCATCTTGAAGCCACTGCAGGCCCTGCAGAATCTTGATGGTCCAGAACAAAGTCTTTATCCCCCCCCCATGAGCTATCTCTTTCTGTTACAAACTGTTTTCTGCATCAAAACAGTGTGGTCATTTGCCCCATTCCCTTAAAGGATTCCCTATTCTTCATAAACTTAAGAAAAAAAAAAAAAAACACTTCTCATTGACAAACATCAAAACTCTCCAAATAGTCCTTTTAAAAATAGACAACAGACATTTCTACTTTAAGATTCCATGTGTTACCAAACTCACATTTTAAAGTGCCTAATATCACTATGGAAATCACCATAAAGGACTGGCCAGAATTTGAATTTGATGAGAATTTTCTATCATATCCCTACCTGACCTGATCATATGATCTATCATATCCCTACCTTCTGTTCTCAGAACATTCTTTCTGTGGATTTTCTTTGCTACTGAGTCAGATACTTTCTTTCTCATTTCTGTTGTCTATGTAACAGAGGTTTCTGCTGTATCTTTGAAATTGCCTTTGCAAAAATTGAAAGTGAGGAAATTAAGACAGTGAAAGAGATCAGACCTAACTGATTCCATCTTGCTTCTAACCTTTAAGCTGTCCTTGTTCATTCCTGGGCATTTGGGAAGGAATTCAGTTCATAATTTGACTCTGAAACAAAATTGATAATAGCCCTTTCCTGAAAAGACCCCCTTCTTGCCTGGGGTCCAGTCTGCCTTTCCAGAACTAACAAGGTATCTACAAGATTAGAAATTATAGTTTAGGGGCCATGCAGCCTCTGGCTCCAAAAGTCTCAACCTCCCCAAATTGCTTCTGGGGGTAATATCACTATTGTAAAACCTAAGATCAGTGCTGGAGATATTTTGTAGACCCTGCACTGGATAGATTGGCTGACACCATCCAGACTGGTAATCTGGCCCAATCAGTTCTGCCATCCCATCTAGGATTAGAAGACAGCAAGAAAACCTCTCTTTGACCCCCCTGTGAGTCCATCTCCAACCTGACCAATCAGCACTCCCCACTTCCTGATTCCCTACCTGCCAAATTTTGTTTGTTTGTTTGTTTGTTTGGAGACAGAGTCTCTCTTTGTTGCCCAGGCTGGAGTACAGCAGCGCATTCTCAGCTCACTGCAACCACTGCCTCCTGGGTTCAAGCGATTCTCCAGCCTCAGTCTCCTAAGTAGCTGGGATTACACCCCGTCACATACTAAGCCCTGGTCACACACTGAGCCCTGACCCACCTGACCTGATCTGACCCTGAGTATGTGCCATTACACCTGGCTAATTTTTTATATTTTTAGTAGAGACAGTTTCACCATGTTGGCCAGGCTGTTCTTGAACTCCTGATCTCAGGTGATTCCGCTTGCCTCAGCCTCCCAAAGTGCCGGGATTATACTTGTGACCACCATGCCCAGTAGCAGATTATCTTTAAAAACTCTGATCCCCAAATGCTCAGAGAGACTGATTTGAATAATACTAAAACTTCTATCTCCTCACAGCCAGCTCTGTGTGAATTCCTCTATCTCCAGTGCAATTCCCCTGTCTTGTTAAATTGGCTCTGTCTAGGCAGCGGGCAATGTGAACCCATTGGGTGGTTACATCTTTAAATATTAAATTGAAAAAAGAATGCAAAGCTATACCTCTGTTCTGGTTTCTTTTGATTACTGGCATGCTTTCTTGATTTGACTTTCAGAGAAAAATTTTTAAAGTTTATAATACAAATCAGAATAATTCACATGCTTACCATTTAAAATTCACTTTTTAAAGTCAAAGCTAGACCTAGGAATAATTTTTAAATAAAATTAAATAAGTTAAATTCATTTTTATTGAGAATAAAAACTGGTATTTTTTTTTGGGGGGGGGCAGATTTTTGCTCGTGTTGCCCAGACTGGAGTGCAATCTTGGCTCACTAGAACCTCTGCCTCCCAGGTTCAAGTGATTCTCCTTCCTCAGCCTCCTGAGTAGCTGGCATTACAGGCATGTGCCATGACGCCCGGCTAATTTCGTACTTTTTAGTAGAAACAGGGTTTCTCCACATTGGTCAGACTGGTCTTGAGCTCCCAACTTCAGGTTATCAGCCCATCTTGGCCTCCCAAAGTCTGGGGTTACAGGCGTAAGCCACTGCACCTGGCCAAAACTTTTATTTTAAAAGACTCATTAAGCAATCTCAAAAGATTGATCTTTTAATTGCATGTAGCTGTCTTGGAAGACTATTTAAGCAAACATTTAAGCAAAAAAAAAAAATCTAAAGACCTGTTTTTACATTAAAACCCATGGAACTACCAGTAGGAACTATGCCCCTGCCTGTGACTCCACTGGGGTCACAGGAGTTTTAAACTCCAAGACATTTCCAGAGACTGTCTAGCTCAGCGCTCCTCAGACCAGCTAGTTATCAGACTCCAAGGAGTAAAAAATTCCAAAATAAAATCATACTATACTGCAATATGAAAGAAATGCGTGCATATTAGTTAAAGAATTTCAATAGTATGCAAAAATAACAAGTTAAAAAAAATCTCTCCCTCTTCCCCAACAATTGTCAGTGCCATGACCCAGAAGAAGCCATTGTTACCAATTTCTGGTCTTAGACCTAATGGTCACTGCATAACTCTTATATAGTTACCTTGTTTCATCAGCTTCAGGAATATCTGTTATTTCCCGAAGATGTTTGGATGTTATCCCCTTCGAATCTCACGTTGAATTATAATCCCCAATACCGGAGGTGGGACGTGGTTGGAGGTGACTGGATGGATCATGGAGGTGAATTTCTGGCGCATGGCTTACAGCCATTCCCTGGGTGTTGTCCTCCTGATAGTAAGTGAGTTCTCCTGAGATCTGCTTGTGGTACTTCCTCCCCGTTCTCTCTTTTGCTCCAACTCTTGCCAAGTGAGATGTCAGCTCCTTTTCACTAGCACCACACTTCCTGTACAGCCTATAGAACTGCGAGCCAATTAAACCTCTTTTCTTTATAAATCACCCAGCCTTAGGGATTTCTTTATAGCAGCACAAGAACAGATTAACACACCTGCTAAAAAAGTGGCCGGGCACGGTGGCTCACACCCGTATTTCCAGTAATTTGGGAAGCTGAGGTGGGCGGATTACCTGAGGTCAGGAGTTCAAGCCCAGCCTGGCCAACATGGTGAAACCCCATCTCTACTAAAAATACAAAAATTAGCTGGGTGTGGTGGTGCATGCATGTAATCCCAGCTACCCAGGAGGCTGAGGCAGAAAAATTACTTGAAACCAGGAGGTAGAAGCTGCAGTGAGTTGGTCTTGAACTCCTGACATTGTGATCTGCCTGCCTTGGCCTCCCAAAGTGCTAGGATTACAAGTGTGAGCCACTGTGCCTGGCCAAGAATTATCTCTTTTTGGCCAATTTTTGTATTTTTAGTAGAGACAGGGTTTCACCATGTTAGTCAGGCTGGTCTCAAACTCCTGACCTCATGATCTGCCCACCTTGGCCTCCGAAAGTGCTGGAATTACAGGAGTGAGCCACTGAGCCCATTCTATATATTCTATTTGTTTGAAATATACATATGAATATATATATATATATAAGGTTTAGGACATTTATATTCCATAGGTATAAATTCAGTGACTTGTATAAAGATTAATTCTAAAATTTTAAAAGCTAAAGCCAGGCACAGTGGGATGCACCTATAGTCTCAACTACTTGGGAGGCTGAGGCAAGAGAATTACTTGAGCCCAGGAGTTCAAGACTAGCCTGGGCAACACAACAAGACCACACCTTTTAAAAAAGTAATAAAAAATGGGTTTTTTCCCCTTTTTTTCTTTTTAGCTGGTACCTTGATCTTGGATATAGTGATAAAAATACTATGATTTTTGTTTGTTTGTTTGTTTGTTTTTGAGATGGAGTTTTCACTCCAGGCTGGAGTGCAGTGGCATGATCTCAGCTCACTGCAACCTCTGCCTCTTGGGTTCAACCAATTCTTCTGCTTCAGCCTCCCAAGTAGCTAGGATTACAGGCATCTGCCCCCACACCTGGCTAATTTTTGTATTTTTAGTAGAGAGAGGGTTCTGCCATGTTGTCCAGGCTGGTCTCTAACTCCTGACCTCAGGTGATCCGCCCACCTCAGCCTCCCAAAGTGCTGGGAATACAGGCATGAGCCACCACATCTGCCAAAAATACTATTATTTTTAACAATATATAGAACCGTGGAATGATTGAGTCTTTGGAAAAAGAAATGTAATCTTTGGTCACAAAATTTGACCATTTGAAAGAGAATGTCACAAATGTCAAGGTCAAAATCCTCTATCATTTGCTGAAATATGCTGCATTTTGGTTTGCTTCTACTAAAAGCTGACTTTGTTATATAGCTTTCCTATGATTTGAACATGTCCTCCAAACTTCATGTGTTGGAAACTTAATCCCTAAATTCATATGTTGTTGGTGTTTGGAGGTGAGGCCTTTGGGAGGTAATTAGGTTTAGATGAGGTCATCATGGTAGGGCCTCCACGATGGGATCGGGGACCTTATGATAAAAGGAGGAGGCCAGGTGTGGTGGCTCATGCCTGTAATCCCGGCATTTGGGGAGGGCAGGGTGGGCAGATCACCAGAGGTCAGGAGTTTGAGACCAGCCTGGCCAACAAGGTGAAACCCTGTCTCTAGTAAAAATACAAATAAATTAGCTGGCCGTGGTGGTACACACCTATAGTCCCAGCTACTGGGGAGGCTGAGGCAGGAGAATCACTGGAACCCAGGAGATGAAGGTTGCAGTGAGCCAGGATTGTGCCACTGCACTCCAGCCTGGGCAACACAGTGAGACTCTGTTGAAAGAGAAAGAGAAAGAAAGAACGAGAGAAAGGAAGGAGGAAGGAAAGAAGGAAGGAAGGAAGGCAAGCAAGCAAGAAAGGAAGAAAGGAAAAAAGAAAGAGAGAGGAAGGAAGAGAGAGAAAGGAAGGAAGGAAGAGAAGAAAGAGAGAGAGAGAGGAAGGGAGGGAGGGAGGGAGAAAAGAAGGAAAGACCTGAACTGACACATACTCTTGCTGTCCCATCACACCATGTTAAGATGTAGCAAGAAGGACCTCACAAGATGCCAGTGCCATGCTCTTGGATTTCCCAGATTTCAGAACTGTAGGGAATAAATTTATTTTCTTTATAAATTACCCAGCCTATTGTATTCTGTTAGCAACAAAAAACCAACTATAATAAGTTTTTGGCTTGTTTTTCCTGGAGTTTTTAATAGCCTTTCATTTTCTGTGGTTGTTGACAAAAGGGACTATGCTTTTATTGTATGTATCTTTAAGCTCTTCCAGGTTTTTGTTTTGTTTTTTTCTGAGATGGAGTCTTGCTCTGTCACCCAGGCTGGAGTGCAGTGGCATGATCTTGGTTCACTGCAACTTCCACCTCCTGGGTTCAAGCAATTCGTATACCTCGCCCTCCTGAGTAGCTGTGATTACAGGCATGTGCCACCATGCCTGGCTAATTTTTGTATTTTTTAGTAGAGATGGGGTTTCACCATGTTGGCCAGACTGTTCTCAAACTCTAACCTCAAGTGATCCACCTACCTTGGCCTCCCAAAGTGCTAGCATTATAGGCATGAGATACTGTGCCCAGCCTCTTCCAGGTTTTTGTTAGTTATAGTTTGTATAGTATACTCCACATCATTTTGCAGACATTCTACACAAAGCCCTCTCATTTGTTGTTCCATGTTTTCTTTAATTTTTACTTTTTGTGGGTACACAGGTGTTTATATTTATAGGGTACAAGGGATGTTTTAATACAAGCATGCAATGCATAATAATCATATCATGGAGAATGAGGTATTCATTTCCTCAAGTATTTATCCTTTGTATTACAAACCATCCAAGTATATTCTTATAGATATTTTTCTTTTTTTTTTTTTAGACAGATTCTCACTGTGTCACCCAGGCTGGCGTGCAGTGGCACAATCTCGGCTCAATGCAACCCCCACCTCCTGGATTGAAGTGATTCTCCTGCCTCAGCATCCTAAGTAGTTGGGATTACAGGCACATGCCACCACACCCAGTTAATTGTTTTTGGTTCTTTTTTTTGGTATTTTTAGTAGAGACGGGATTTCAACACGTTCACCAGCTTGATCTTAAACCCCTGACCTCAAGTGATCTGCCTGCCTTGGCCTCCCAAAATCCTGGGATTACAGATGTGAGCCACCACACCTGGCTGATACTCTTAGTTACTTTTATTTCTATTTATGTATTTATTTATTGAGACTGAGTGTCACTCTGTCACCGTGACTGGAGTGCAGTGGTGCAATGTACAATTAAAAATAACGGTTAATTAAATGTACAATTAAAAGTAATTAAATGTACAATTTAAAAATTAAAAGTGGCCGGGCGCAGTGGCTCAAGCCTGTAATCCCAGCACTTTGGGAGGCCGAGGCGGGTGGATCACGAGGTCAAGAAATTGAGACCATCCTGGTCAACATGGTGAAACCCCGTCTTTTTAAAAATACAAAAAAAAAAATTAGCTGGGCATGGTGGCGCGTGCCTGTAATCCCAGCTACTCAGGAGGCTGAGGCAGGAGAATTGCCTGAATCCAGGAGGCGGAGGTTGCGGTGAGCCAAGATCGCGCCATTGCACTCCAGCCTGGGTAACAAGAGTGAAACTCTGTCTCAAAAAAATAATAAAATAAAATAAAAGTAACTGTTGTACTATTAAATAACAGGTCTTATTATTTCAAACTATTTTATATACCCATTAGCAATCCCCGCTTACCCCCTCCAGGTCCCCTACTACCCTTCATAGTCTCTCGTAAGCATCCTTCTACTCTATCTCCACGAGTTCAATTTAGATCCCACAAATAAGAGAACCTGTGATGTTTGTCTTTCTGTGCCTGGCTTATTTATCTTCCTAATGATCGCCAGTTCCATTCACACTGTTGCAAATGATAGTATCTTGTTCTTTTCTTTTCCTTTTCTGTATTTTTTCTTTTCTTTCTTTTTTTTTTTTTTAAGTAAATTTTTAAAAAATCACCTGGGTGCAAGTGGGCTAAGGCCGAAAAGGGCGTTACCCCTTTCTTTTCTTTTCTTTTTTGGACAGTCTTTCTCTGTCACTCAGGCTAGAGTACAGTGGTACAATCATGGTTCAGGTGACCCTTCTACTTCAGCATCCTAAGTAGGTTGGACCACAGGCACAACACCATGCCCCTCTAATTTTTTTTTGTTTTTTTGTAGAGACAGGGTTTCTCCACGTTGCCCAGACTGGTATCAAATTCCTGGATTCAAGTGATCATCCCACCTCAGCATCCTAAAGTGCTAGGATTATAGGCATGAGCCACCATGGCTGGCCAGCTCTCATTCTTTTTATGACTGAATAGTACTCCATTGTGTATATGCACCATATTTTTTCCCTCCTTCCTTCTTTCCTTCCTTCCTTCCCCCTTTTTTTTGGACAGAGTCTCACTCTGTCACCCAGGCTGGAGTACAGTGGTACAATCTCGGCTCACTGCAACCTCCACCTCCAGGGTTCAAGTGATTCTCCTGCCTCAGCCTCCTGAGTAGCTGGGACTACAGGGGCGCACCAGCATGCTGACTAATTTTTGTATTTTTGGTAGAGACAAGGTTTTACCATGTTGGCCACGCTGGTCTTGAACTTGTGGTCTCAAGTGATCTGCCCATCTCAGCGTTCCAAAGTGCTTGGATTACAGGCATGAGCCACCGCACCCAGCCTATGCACCACATTTTCTTTATTCATTCAACTGCTGATGGACACTTAGGTTATTACCAAATTTTGGCTATTGTCGATAGAGCTGCAACAAACATAGGCGTGCAGATAGCTCTTCAATATGCTGATTTCCTATCTTTTGGGTACTTTGGGGTTAATACCTAATAGTGGGATTGCTACCATCATATGGTAGCTCTTTTTTTTTAGTTTTTCCTTTTTTTTTTTTTTAACATTAAAAATATAGAGAGAGATGGGGTCTTACTATTATGTTGCCCAGGCTGGTCTCGAACTCCTGGCTGAGGCAGTCCTCCCACCTGAACCTTCTAAAGTGCTGGGATTACAGGCATAGCCCTTTTTCTTTAGTTTTTTGAGGAATCTTCAAACTGTTCTCCATAATGGTTGTACTAATTTACTTTCATATCAAGAGCTTACAAGAGTTCTCTTTTCTGCTGAGCGTGGTGGCACATGCCTATAATCCTAGCACTTTGACAGGCTGAGAGCGGCAGATCACCTGAGATTGGGAGTTCATGACCAGCCTGACCAACATAGAGAAACCCTGTCTCTACTAAAAATACAAAATTAGCCAGGCGTGGTGGCATATGCCTGTAATCCCAGCTACTCAGGAATCTGAGGCAGGAGAATTGCTTGAACCCGGGAGGCGGAGGTTGCAGTGAGCTGAGATCGTGCCATTGCACTCTAGCTCGGGCAACAAGAACGAAACTCACAAAAATAATGAAAAATAAAAAATAGAGTTCTCTGTTCTTATCCTCGCCAGCATTTGCTATTGCCTGTCTTTTGGATACAA